GGGGTCTTTACTTCCAGGGTGACCAAGGAAAAAAGGAATATCATTTGAGCTAAAAAGTGTCAGCCATGTGCATCTCCTTGGCTGCACCAACTGCACTCACTGCTTGCCCAAGCACAAGGCCATTAAGAAGGCTACTGTCATCTCTAGTGGAGGCTGCAGTCATGGGGACATATTCAAAGTGAGTGTCTTTGATGCTTGTGTGCTTCCCAAGCTGTATGTGAAATTACTTACTTCATGAACATTTACAACTAAGTAGTCAAGACTCGTTCTCATGAAGCCAGGAAGGATTGATTCTTCGGATCCTCTAGTCTGACTTAGACCTGTGAGTGCTGTGCTGTAACCTTTACCAAAGCCCATGTAAAGGAGCAATATTCTCCAAGACTGAAGAAAAACTGTCCTCTAGAAAAATAAGATGGGAATTGTATTTAAAGAAAACAACAAGCAATTACTGTATTTGACATGTATTTATCAAATAAGAAACAGTTACTCAGGATTATTTTTTGATAGTTCAGGTTGAGCCTTTTAAGTTTTATTTATGCATACAGAGCTGGGGTACAGGACAGAGGTGCTAGGGTACAGGACAGAGGTGCAGGGGCGGTGAGAGGATTCACCAGAGACAGAGTGGGGAGCAGAACAGGCAGATCAACAAAGTACACTGCTGAGAAGAACAGCGGTCGGGTCAGGTCTGCCACGCCATGTGGATCACCTCTGGGGCGGGGATCCAACTCATGCTAAAGTGGCTTTAGCTTCTTAGTGCTGCGCTTTAACCCGCTGTGCCACCAGGGAGGGCCCTTATTTCACTGATTTAACAAAATTTTGATTGTGTCATATATATATATATGTATGTGGTTCATTATTTAGATACTCCCTGAGAATTCTCTTTTGTGGACCTCAAATACCATAGAACTACTTGAGAGACAGTGAACTGTGATAGGCCTGTTAGCACAAGTGCTTTCTAAGCAACTTCCCACAAATATTTTTCTGTTTTTACTGTTGTACTTTTTTTAAAAAGCTTTATGTGAACATAATTTTAGATTTTCATATTTTAAAATGTGTTTAAGGGGCCTCCTTGAATGCCTAGGGATTAAATCTCTATGCTATCACCGCTCTGGCCTGAATTCAGTCTCCAGTCAGGAGCTGACCCACATATGGCACATAGACCTCTCCTGTCTCTCCCACTGCTCCCCTTAGAGTAGTTCTTCTTTTTAGATTTTTAAAAATTTACTTATGCATATAAGAGCCGGGGTACAGGCCAGAGGGGGAGGGGGTGAGAAGATTCAGCAGAGACAAAGTGGGGAGCAGAATAGGCGGACCCACCAAAATACACTGCTGAGGGGAGCGGCAGGCAGGACAGGAGAGGTCTGCTTCACCATATGGGATCAAACTCTTGATGCAGTGGCTGTGGAGAGCTTCATAGTGCTGTGCTTCAACCCACTGCACCACTAGAGAGGGCCCAGCAGTGTATTTCAGTAAATCTGCCTGCTCTGCTCCCCACTCACTCTCTGGTAAATCCTCTGAAAACTGTCCTCCTCCCCTCCAACCCCCCACCTCTGGCCTATATCTCAGTGCTATGTATAAGTAAATAAATCTTTAAAAAACAAAAATGTGTCACCATATATGTCACCAATTTCTTGCACCTTGTGTCAACACTTAATGTGGGTTCATAATTTGTTAAGGTGTTGTCACTTTATATTTGTCAGTATAATTTTCCTATAAAAATAGGTTATCCAGAGAGGAGGAATTCTGATCACAGAAAGAAAAAGAGCTGACTTTTCCACAAAAGATATTTATCAAGATCTCAACCGGTTGTTGAAAGGCAAAAAAGGAGAAGAGATTAACAGTGCTGTCTTGCCAGAGATGGAGAATCAGGTATGTGGATTACAAATGTGAACTTATTTAAATTACAATGACTTTTCGATGATTTCTGTCACATGTATCTCAGAACAAAATTGAATTGCTGTTAAACTTGTTTTATCGATGATAAAGCCGGTGAAAAACTTCAGGAAGTGACAGAAAAATTCAAACATAACAAGAAATATAAATTTATTATATTTATAGTTATTCCTAGGGCAAAGAAGAATATTACTGATTTTGTGTGAAAAGGCCTGATTTCTGTCACTTAAGTAGATGTGACAGCATAGTGTCAATACCAGGAAAAATCCTATCAGAGCTTTATAATGTGCAAACTGGGGCTTTAATAAATTATTTCAACTTTCTGAGAAACATTTTCATCATACATTAAGATTTTAAAAAACCTATCTTGATGGAGATTAGGAAATATTAAGGATGAAAGTATAGCCCATAATAATTGCATAGTAAATAGTTATGTTTAAACAGTGTGATTCATAACTGGTACTGAATTTGTGTGTTCGGAGGTGGAAATAGAGTTTGCAAACATTGAAATGTTATATGGGGTTTTCATGGTTGAGGATTATTTTATTCACATCTTTGAATTTTTATGGTAAAATATTAGAAACATGGATGGGCTATTTGTGGATTATGAGTAAATAAAATGATGTATTTATATTTAAGTAATGATAGACTTTATAACAACTTATAACATTTTCAAGGTAGATTTTGAACTAAAATAAACTGAGACAGTAGTTACTAAGATGATTTTGCAGTGATTACTTATCACGTTAATAACTCAGTCCTTATAAAGTAAGTGTGCCTATTTGACTTTTCACATGTGTGACAAAGTCATAACTGCTGTGCCCTGGCAAACTAATTCTTACCCTGAGGGTGTGGATAGGCTTCCCCACACTGACCAGCAGTTGTCAGATTTTTGTAAAAGATCTTCTAGTTCATCAATGTAGAGTTGAAGTTTATAAGTTGGATCTAAGACCTCCAAGGAGAATGATTGGTATTTGGCATTTAAGGTAATTATCTTCCTTTTTAATTTAGTTATTTTTTAAGAATAAAGAAAAAATGTGAGAGAATTGTATGTGTGTACTTTTTGTATTTTAACCACATTGTAACAGTAAAATACTTTGAGAATTGAACATTCCTTGGCATGAGGTTTTAAAAATCAGTTTAATTGCAATTCAGAAATTATAAAATGAGTATGAATACTCTGAACTTTGTCACTGTCTCTGAAACATAAAAAACAAACAGGCTTTGCATAAGGTTGAACACCAGCATTAAACAAGAAACAAGGACTTGATTTTATTGTCAGAATTGAGTTGAATTCTCAGATACCCTACTACTCCTATAAATAGTACTGCTGTGACTAAATTTTCACAATATTACATACTAGTCATAAGAAACTTACTTAAGCTTCATCTGTTTCCTTAGGTTTGATTGGAAAGGAACACCAAGGAAAATGATAGTGTTTGTAACTTTTCATTTTGTCATTTGTTTTTTAAAAGTCTCTAGAATTAATTCTTGATAGCAATCTTACTTAAACTTTTTAACCTCAGGTTGCAGTTTCATCATTGTCTGCAGTGATCAAGTTTTTAGATATCTTATCAGATGACTCAAACTTTGGGCAGTTTGAACTGACTACTTTTGATTTTGGTCAGTACCTGAGATTGGATATTGCAGCAGTCAGAGCTCTTAATCTTTTCCAGGTAAGAAAAAAAAATTTGGATTAAAAACAATGGTTAAAAGAACCTCCCTGGTTCCTCAAACTGCTAAACATGGAGCTTCCCTACAACCCAGCAATCCCACTCCTAGGTATCTAC